GATCCATGACTAGTTCACCTCTACCAAAAACCCTTGAGCTTGGTGATACATAAGCTGTCCGGAACTTTATAATTATACACAACAGATAGAATATATCGGCAACAGTTCGAAAAAAGGTCACAATAATTCCCAGATTCAAATCTGTTGTCATACATGATGAATTGCTATCATTCTCTACCGAAGGGAGGTAGAAAAACAATGGATCAACGAAAAGTGCTACCAAACAAGAGAACAGGAAAATTCTATTCCATTTCAGGAAAAGTTCACTTCCAGGATCAAGTATTTTTTTCCTCATAGGCTCATGATTTTCTGGGAAAACCTTAAACCTTCCAAACATAGGAGGTCCATTTGTTTTAGCTCTGTCCCCAGTTCCACCTTCGGATTTCAACAAGGGGGGTGAAGATTTGGACACAGGCAATTTGTTTTCGAGTTCGGGGTCGATTTTATCCCAGGAAAGCTCAAGATTTTGTTTCCCAGTATTGTAAAACCTATCAATTTCCAAACCTATTAATCAAATTTCTAGAAAACAGGAATATGAAACAGAAAAATGGAGACAGTAACAGAAACTTACCTCACTAGCTTCTCTTTCTTAAACTCCATGCTTGTAGTCAGTGTCACCTACCTTATACTGAAACATAATACTGACATTGAATATCAGAATGTAATAACGGGCTCCAACAGTACTTCCAGTTGTACTCAAATCTCTTCGAGACCTTCATTTTTGAGTCCTTTGACACAGTGGTTTCAAATCAAACTCTACACAAGGTGCAAAAATTTGGAAACATTGGAATTACATCTTATTTTTTCTAAAGAAAATTGCTTCTTGAGAATTTTGAAATCGAGAGAGAGAGAGGAGAGAGAGAGAGGGGGGAGAGAGAACTGAGTTGAAACAGCTTTGTTTTCTGCATATGGTTGACTTACATTAATTGGTCTAATAAACTAGCAGTTAGAGAAGAAACAAAAGATACAACGCTATGGCCTGAGATACTCGGTCAATTTTTGCTGTGAAAACCGTAGTTTACAGGGCGAAACGTGGAGGCCATGAATGAGTATATATAAACTGAAAAATATAAAGAATATATTACAACAAATAATAAAGAGCTTTTCCAGATTTTTAGGGACCAGCAATGTACTACGTACAAATGTACGTGAATAATTTTTATACACAGAAATTAATAAAACAGATTATGTATATGTATATTTGAATTCATCTCAAATTTAGCAAACATAATTTCTTATTGCTCATTCTATTATATGATTATGAAAACATTATATGTTTTCAAAATTCTTTATTTTTAACAAGTCCAGATTTAATTAGGTCATGTCCTATTAATGAGCTAAACACAAATCAGTTACAAAGCAGGTCAAATTCAATTCATGGATTCAGCCCAGTCCAAAGTTTAAGAAGTTCAGAAGGATTAGAACACGTGGAGAGTAATTATCAGAATACTTATCATCAAAGATCAAAGCAACATTTAATTGTACTTATCTTTTGTAGCTCCTTGAAGATTTAGTACATCTACACTTACGTCACTGCCTCAACTAAGGCTATGTGCCTATAAATTATAAGTTTTCCCTATATGAAAAGAGACATCTCTATACACTCCACACATATCTTTTCTCTCTTTTAGTTATTATATCCCTTCCGAGGCTAACTATTGTTCTCGCTCTCAGTCACCTTACTTAATCAATAAAGGGTCCCCCGAACACCATTATCATTTCCCGAAGTGGAGTAGGTCACTCCAATCGAACCACTATATATTTGTGTGTTGACTAGATATTTACATCACTGTCATTGATTGTTCTATTAATTGTCTCGTTAATTACACTTTATCACACACTCAACTGTTGATCTTGCATAAGTCTATTTTGTGCATTATCAGTTTTAACTATTAAAAAAAGTAGTTAAAGTTCTATTTTTTATAGAATTTTGTGATTGAGATTGATTTTTTAGTGATGTTTGAGAAATTAAATTTTTTGAAATTTAGTTGATTAGGATTCTACTTATAATTTCTTGAATAAAATAAAATAAATTGTCAATATACTAATCACTTTGGAGTCTTACTCTAATTAGAAATTAGTTAGATCAATTAAGATAAGATTTAATATACAACTCTATAATATATACTATCAATCATATTAAAATTCTAAAAAATTCATTTTTTAAAAAAAAATATACTACAATGTCTATTTGTACATAAAATTTTAGTACAAGTTAGAAATATTATTGTGACTGAAGAATTATATTGATGTAACATAAATTGATTTTAAAATACTATATATACAATTATTTTTTTATCTTAGAAATGAAAAGGTTAAATTTTTCGATAAACAAAATATACATATATAGGCATAATATTATCTTTGTATATGAGATGAGTAATATTAGATTAATGAATTTTTTGAAAGTTTTTTGAATACTTTATTGAAAATATAATGATGCATATCTTTTTAAGAGTAATATAGTCAATCAAAATTTTTTATAGAAACTTATATTTATATATAGATAATAAATAATTAAAAGAGATGTTATAGATAGTTTGAAGATTTAAACACATAAGGATATGATGGTAATTTTGATATTTAAAAGTGAAAAAATAGAGTGGTCTCTGCAATCTTTTATAAGGGTAAAATAGAAATTCAAAAGTTTTTCATCGTAAGATACTTTTATTAGTAGTATAAATATGTTTAGATTGCATCTCAAAACATAATTTTTTAAAAAAAAATTTAGGAAGAGTTTTAAGAAAGTATTTTTTAATATTTTTATATTATAAAATTTGTTCAGTTATATAAATTTAAAAATAGTTTAAAAAAAATAGTAAAACCTGTTTGAACAATGATGACAAAATCCTTACCCTAATTTTTATCTTATCACTCTTGCTTTTTCTCTTTCTAGCCTTCTCTCTCTGTCTTTCCCTTCTATTTCTTTCTCCATTATGTTCTCACACAACAAAAACATACACAGAGCAAACATGCAAACACCCACACACTCACACAACAAACACACACATAAAGCAAACACACACAGAAAAACCACTCATAGATCTGTGTGTTGGATTGGGTAGAAAGGGAGAAAGGGGGAGTTACAAACACTAACCAAACATGCCCTAATTTTCTATGACTTCTCGTTTTGGGACTACTGCAACAAATAAGAAAGACCGTTTTGAGGTTTCTAATTTTCTATGACTTCTCGTTTTTGGAACGGCTGAGAGTGTTCTAAGAGAATCTCTAACCTTAACTTCAATTTTTACTTAAATTTAAGTAATATTTGAGTAAAAAAATTGATTTGATATAAAAGATGTCAATGGATAAACTCAAATTTAAAGAATAAAAAGCTCAAATTTAAATGAGGATAAACTCAAATTGAAAGTATGGTGAAATATGAGAATTGAATCATTAAAAGAGAATAATTATTGATGATTTGAGAAAATGTTTGAGTCTCCTTGAAGATCATCTCCAATAGTACTCTCTAAAATAGAAAACGTCTTTTTTAAAATAAAGTGTCTATTTGACAAAAATTTAAAACAGATAATTAAATTTTTTATACTACTCCAATAAGACTCTTTATGCTTATTAATTTATAAGTCATAACCTGTACCAATGCGACATAAAATATGAACACCCAAAAAATTGATCATTATTTTTCCTTCCCTTTCTTTAATTTCATGATTTGAAATTAATTTGTACTCATTATTTTTTAAAAAACAAATTAACAATTTTCTCAAAATATAAAATCTTAAAAAAATATCAATGTGTACATTAAATATATGAACAACGCCTAAAATAAAATTTATATTGAGCCACAAATTAATCAAAAATTACATGATTCAACTTATAATATAAATTAGAGATGTGATAGAAATAGGCAAAAAAAATATGTGAGAGATAAAATTTAAAAGGGTAGATAGAAGAAAGAGATAGGAGAGATAAGACTTTGTATGACCTTGATTATTGTGTAAAGGTATGGACTGAGTGAGGTTTTCGAGTTTAGGGGAGAAATTTTTTGGAGAATGATTTTGAGGCATTGGACTGATNGTGTGTGAAGAGTTTGCCAGCAAAAGACTTCGCCTTATGTTGATTCATAGAGTCATTTCTTAATTTCAATCAACTTCCATCCCCACAGGAAGGGACAGAGTAACAAAGGTCACTTCCATTAGTTAAGACTAAATTTCACGGAGGCAAAATCTACCCTCAGACTAAGGATCCAATTTCTTTTAATGTATAGATTAAGTTAGCACAGGAACATTTCAAGTAGAAAACACAAACAAAAAAATATAATTTTGATACCAAAACATTTCGGAACGTCAGTCAAAACCTTACAAGATATTAAAAAACATGGGAATTTCAATTTTCTATCGATGCTGACTAGGTTCGATTCCACAAGAACTGAAGCATTTCAGTCAATTTAGTGGAAACGAAACAAAATTTTGATCCTTGCCTTAGACCAAAAATACAAGAATCTTTTTTAGCAAAGCTGAGATAAGACTCTCGTAACATATAATGCCATTGTTTGTTTTCTTTTATAGAACCACATGACATAGAATCCCTCTTCTTGGAAAAATCTTGTTGTCAATTTTTTCAAGAGAGAAATGAGAATCAACTCAACTAGGTAATACAATCTGTCCATCCTTCCAATAGGTAGCGAAGTTATTGTACAATTTGAATTAATCATTGGTGATAAGCACATAGAGCACTTTTATTTCATGTATTTGATTGTCTCAAAGTCGAAAAATGATTCTGCCTAATTTATTTAACTGAATATGTGATGTTCTAGCAAAATTTCCACTGTTCTTCGTCAGTAACAAGTAACAACACATTAATGATCAATATTAACTCAATGTTAACTTTTCATTTTGCCAAAAAGCCAAACTTTTGTATGTATATGATATTGCGACAAAGAAAATGTTTGTGAAAGAAGATTGCTGAACGAATGCTTGTCATAAAAAACTTAAATGAAATAACTTTTAAACATAAGCATAAAAAAACTGTTGTTATAAGTGCTAACTACAAATCCGAGTTACAATGACAGCACACACTAAGGTTATAGCATAGGCTTTATATATATAGCATAAGCTTGTTTCTTCTCTTGCTAGCTGAAATGGCCATATCTTTCGCAGTTGTAACAATTTCCAAAAGGGAGTAGCACACTGCCCAACTTTGTTATTTGCAGTGGGAATAAACAGAGGACCCGTTATTGCATGTAAATAGGATAACATACTCATGAAATCATACCTTAAGTTCTGTAAGCCCCACCATAAACAATAGAAGTACTTTGAAAGAAACTTTGAGGAGACAACATTGTTTGTAACCGCATTTTGGAAGATCCCATAATTGAAAAATGTACTGTTATCAGGGTTACATTGACTAAAGACAATAGTAGTGTTTGCCCACGTCCTTCTATCATCATTGGTCAAGCTATCACAATCCAAGAAACTAAGGGAGCATCTCATTGGGCTAAATTCCTGATTGCAAGCTGATTTCCAGCATGTTGCATTCCGTTCAATTGACAATAGATACCACGATGCCCCCAGAACCTAAAAGAGTAGCAGCATAATCAATGCAAAATTGCAGTCAAACTCTATATTGAGACCATTGAATTGTTAATCAAGTGAAAAAAATATGATCACGCATCTGAACGAATAAATGCAAGTAGAGAGAAGTTACACACATGACTAGCTAACATGTAGAGTAGGAGATTGTACGCAGCCCCGGCCCAAGCTGTTTTGGTCACAACTCCTGCAGCTTTAATGATCTGAGAACTTAATGGAAAAATCAGATATAATCTGGGGATATATTGGATCAGGACAATCAGTACGAGGGCATTGGTGGTGTGATCAGCATGGGAGCTTCTAATTGCTGGTATTATGAACCATATGACAATCTGCCAAACAATCAAATTCAAAGTTAACTTGGCCCAAGAATTGGGTATGGAAAACTACAAAATGGATATTGGAAAATAACCAGGTGAAATTGTTAGTGTCCAAGTCTAATATTGCACTAAAGACATGGATTCCAGAGCAGTCTATCCATAAACAAGAAGTCCAATTTGAAATGATTTAAGTTATCATACCAAGTTTTGAGCAGTGAACAAACTTTGCATACAAAATTATCCTGCAACTCATAAGTTTTGGACATAACTTCTCCTTATGCAGCTAAGGAACTTTATCCCATACAATATGAACAGAGAAAATGTTGTCCTTCAGACAATCATAACGCCATACCTGGGGAAGAGGCAGTGTTGCAACCACATCTATGAAGAAATCAGACTTTAAGTACCGCCTTGCAATTTTCTTCGGATCCATGACTAGTTCACCTCTACCAAAAACCCTTGAGCTTGGTGATACATAAGCTGTCCGGAACTTTATAATTATACACAACAGATAGAATATATCGGCAACAGTTCGAAAAAAGGTCACAATAATTCCCAGATTCAAATCTGTTGTCATACATGATGAATTGCTATCATTCTCTACCGAAGGGAGGTAGAAAAACAATGGATCAACGAAAAGTGCTACCAAACAAGAGAACAGGAAAATTCTATTCCATTTCAGGAAAAGTTCACTTCCAGGATCAAGTATTTTTTTCCTCATAGGCTCATGATTTTCTGGGAAAACCTTAAACCTTCCAAACATAGGAGGTCCATTTGTTTTAGCTCTGTCCCCAGTTCCACCTTCGGATTTCAACAAGGGGGGTGAAGATTTGGACACAGGCAATTTGTTTTCGAGTTCGGGGTCGATTTTATCCCAGGAAAGCTCAAGATTTTGTTTCCCAGTATTGTAAAACCTATCAATTTCCAAACCTATTAATCAAATTTCTAGAAAACAGGAATATGAAACAGAAAAATGGAGACAGTAACAGAAACTTACCTCACTAGCTTCTCTTTCTTAAACTCCATGCTTGTAGTCAGTGTCACCTACCTTATACTGAAACATAATACTGACATTGAATATCAGAATGTAATAACGGGCTCCAACAGTACTTCCAGTTGTACTCAAATCTCTTCGAGACCTTCATTTTTGAGTCCTTTGACACAGTGGTTTCAAATCAAACTCTACACAAGGTGCAAAAATTTGGAAACATTGGAATTACATCTTATTTTTTCTAAAGAAAATTGCTTCTTGAGAATTTTGAAATCGAGAGAGAGAGAGGAGAGAGAGAGAGGGGGGAGAGAGAACTGAGTTGAAACAGCTTTGTTTTCTGCATATGGTTGACTTACATTAATTGGTCTAATAAACTAGCAGTTAGAGAAGAAACAAAAGATACAACGCTATGGCCTGAGATACTCGGTCAATTTTTGCTGTGAAAACCGTAGTTTACAGGGCGAAACGTGGAGGCCATGAATGAGTATATATAAACTGAAAAATATAAAGAATATATTACAACAAATAATAAAGAGCTTTTCCAGATTTTTAGGGACCAGCAATGTACTACGTACAAATGTACGTGAATAATTTTTATACACAGAAATTAATAAAACAGATTATGTATATGTATATTTGAATTCATCTCAAATTTAGCAAACATAATTTCTTATTGCTCATTCTATTATATGATTATGAAAACATTATATGTTTTCAAAATTCTTTATTTTTAACAAGTCCAGATTTAATTAGGTCATGTCCTATTAATGAGCTAAACACAAATCAGTTACAAAGCAGGTCAAATTCAATTCATGGATTCAGCCCAGTCCAAAGTTTAAGAAGTTCAGAAGGATTAGAACACGTGGAGAGTAATTATCAGAATACTCATCATCAAAGATCAAAGCAACATTTAATTGTACTTATCTTTTGTAGCTCCTTGAAGATTTAGTACATCTACCCTTACGTCACTGCCTCAACTAAGGCTATGTGCCTATAAATTATAAGTTTTCCCTATATGAAAAGAGACCTCTCTATACACTCCACACATATCTTTTCTCTCTTTTAGTTATTATATCCCTTCCGAGGCTAACTATTGTTCTCGCTCTCAGTCACCTTACTTAATCAATAAAGGGTCCCCCGAACACCATTATCATTTCCCGAAGTGGAGTAGGTCACTCCAATCGAACCACTATATATTTGTGTGTTAACTAGATATTTACATCACTGTCATTGATTGTTCTATTAATTGTCTCGTTAATTACACTTTATCACACACTCAACTGTTGATCTTGCATAAGTCTATTTTGTACATTATCAGTTTTAACTATTAAAAAAAAGTAGTTAAAGTTCTATTTTTTATAGAATTTTGTGATTGAGATTGATTTTTTAGTGATGTTTGAGAAATTAAATTTTTTGAAATTTAGTTGATTAGGATTCTACTTATAATTTCTTGAATAAAATAAAATAAATTGTCAATATACTAATCACTTTGGAGTCTTACTCTAATTAGAAATTAGTTAGATCAATTAAGATAAGATTTAATATACAACTCTATAATATATACTATCAATCATATTAAAATTCTAAAAAATTCATTTTTTAAAAAAAAATATACTACAATGTCTATTTGTACATAAAATTTTAGTACAAGTTAGAAATATTATTGTGACTGAAGAATTATATTGATGTAACATAAATTGATTTTAAAATACTATATATACAATTATTTTTTTATCTTAGAAATGAAAAGGTTAAATTTTTCGATAAACAAAATATACATATATAGGCATAATATTATCTTTGTATATGAGATGAGTAATATTAGATTAATGAATTTTTTGAAAGTTTTTTGAATACTTTATTGAAAATATAATGATGCATATCTTTTTAAGAGTAATATAGTCAATCAAAATTTTTTATAGAAACTTATATTTATATATAGATAATAAATAATTAAAAGAGATGTTATAGATAGTTTGAAGATTTAAACACATAAGGATATGATGGTAATTTTGATATTTAAAAGTGAAAAAATAGAGTGGTCTCTGCAATCTTTTATAAGGGTAAAATAGAAATTCAAAAGTTTTTCATCGTAAGATACTTTTATTAGTAGTATAAATATGTTTAGATTGCATCTCAAAACATAATTTTTTAAAAAAAAATTTAGGAAGAGTTTTAAGAAAGTATTTTTTAATATTTTTATATTATAAAATTTGTTCAGTTATATAAATTTAAAAATAGTTTAAAAAAAATAGTAAAACCTGTTTGAACAATGATGACAAAATCCTTACCCTAATTTTTATCTTATCACTCTTGCTTTTTCTCTTTCTAGCCTTCTCTCTCTGTCTTTCCCTTCTATTTCTTTCTCCATTATGTTCTCACACAACAAAAACATACACAGAGCAAACATGCAAACACCCACACACTCACACAACAAACACACACATAAAGCAAACACACACAGAAAAACCACTCATAGATCTGTGTGTTGGATTGGGTAGAAAGGGAGAAAGGGGGAGTTACAAACACTAACCAAACATGCCCTAATTTTCTATGACTTCTCGTTTTGGGACTACTGCAACAAATAAGAAAGACCGTTTTGAGGTTTCTAATTTTCTATGACTTCTCGTTTTTGGAACGGCTGAGAGTGTTCTAAGAGAATCTCTAACCTTAACTTCAATTTTTACTTAAATTTAAGTAATATTTGAGTAAAAAAATTGATTTGATATAAAAGATGTCAATGGATAAACTCAAATTTAAAGAATAAAAAGCTCAAATTTAAATGAGGATAAACTCAAATTGAAAGTATGGTGAAATATGAGAATTGAATCATTAAAAGAGAATAATTATTGATGATTTGAGAAAATGTTTGAGTCTCCTTGAAGATCATCTCCAATAGTACTCTCTAAAATAGAAAACGTCTTTTTTAAAATAAAGTGTCTATTTGACAAAAATTTAAAACAGATAATTAAATTTTTTATACTACTCCAATAAGACTCTTTATGCTTATTAATTTATAAGTCATAACCTGTACCAATGCGACATAAAATATGAACACCCAAAAAATTGATCATTATTTTTCCTTCCCTTTCTTTAATTTCATGATTTGAAATTAATTTGTACTCATTATTTTTTAAAAAACAAATTAACAATTTTCTCAAAATATAAAATCTTAAAAAAATATCAATGTGTACATTAAATNCAGAACAAAATTTAATTGATTTGAGACGAAATCAGATCAAAAAAGATGGGACATGTGGCACATTGTGCACCAAGTATCCAAGGGCGTATAAAAATGGGAAAATCAGATTTTCCCCCCACTTATTGCTGATTTTTTTTTGGAAAAGAGAAAAGGGAGAGAAGAGAGAGAAATCAAGGGTTCTCTTTCACTTCTCCTTGCGATCTAGGATGATTCGTTCCTCTGATTGCTTCGAGCCAAGAGTGAAAAGCGTTCTACGCAGTGAGAGCTACAAGCACGTACCAAAAATCATAGGTTTTGCCAAAGTCTCAAGATCAAAATTTTGGGGATTAAGGTTTTGAAGCTTGAGTTGGGTGATTGGAGCTTTCTACTACGTGTATTACGCTTCAAGTGGTAGGGTTCCTTTCATAACTAAGTTTATTTTCAACCTAGGGTTATATATGGAATGCGTAGCATGATTACAGATAAAATCTCTTGTCTAAATATACTCTTAGTGTAACTAGAGTATGAAAATGGGTTTAGAAACATGTTAAACCAATTTTGCGTGAATTGGGTTTGTTGAAATTACTTGTTTGTAATTTCATGAGAAATGTGATGAATTGATCATGATTATGTGTTTACATGATTTTGTGGCTTGTGGGTATTTGATAAAATGTCTTGACTAATATAAGTTTGTTATTTGAATGAAATTAGCATAACATACTTTTTGAAGACTTTGGAATGTAATTATATGCTTCATGATATAAGTTACATTGAGGATTTGGAATTGTTGATAGGCATTGAAATTGTTCATAATGTGCTTATGACATTTTGAACATGATGTTGTNATGAATCTCAGCCACTCTTATAACAGGCTAACTTAACGATTCAAAATCAGTTATGTTTTCTTATATAAAATATTTTTCTTGTTGATTGATACTCCACTGATTCAGTAATATCAAACACTCACAGTTGGGTTCCATTCTTAAACTTGGTCTCTTGTAAATAAAATATTCAAGTTTGGTAAAAGAATAAAGGGAAAAGGAGGGAAGTCAAATGTATTCCTAAAAAAGACAAATCAATGAAGCAATTAATTTAATATTTTTTGTTGTTGTGCTTGTGTAGTTTGATCAGGAAAATAACTTCTTCAGAGAAATCACATTTGGTGTTAATGACAATGAAGGTAAGAAGTTGGTTTTGACGTAAATAGCATTGAGATATGTTTTATCCTGAATGTCTTGGGCGAAAAGACAAATATACCATTTTTCTGTTCAAAAAACAATAGAGTAGAAAATAAGTTTGATTCACCAAATGTGGAAAGCCACATTGAACTATTTATTTTAGAGAGCCTATGTAAAACCCAGAAAAATTTACAATTTTATTGTGAAGGGTAAAACGGTAGTTAACTATTACGATATAAGTTGAAAACTCAACTTTTTCTAGAACTTGGATGACAAAATAGACCTTACCATTGGATTCGTCTCGCAAAATTTAGTTACCCAATCAATTTTCATTAAATTCTGAGATAGTTGAATTTTTTACGTTTTTCGATGTGATCGGGTCACACGACTAAAATAAATATATCCTATTTTATTTGCGGAACCAAGAAAATAAATTTAATTTAATTGAAATAAAATATATTGAACTTAAAATAGAACAAAATTTAATTGATTTGAGACGAAATCAGATCAAAAAAGATGGGACATGTGGCACATTGTGCACCAAGTATCCAAGGGCGTATAAAAATGGGAAAATCAGATTTTCCCCCCACTTATTGCTGATTTTTTTTTGGAAAAGAGAAAAGGGAGAGAAGAGAGAGAAATCAAGGGTTCTCTTTCACTTCTCCTTGCGATCTAGGATGATTCGTTCCTCTGATTGCTTCGAGCCAAGAGTGAAAAGCGTTCTACGCAGTGAGAGCTACAAGCACGTACCAAAAATCATAGGTTTTGCCAAAGTCTCAAGATCGAAATTTTGGGGATTAAGGTTTTGAAGCTTGAGTTGGGTGATTGGAGCTTTCTACTACGTGTATTACGCTTCAAGTGGTAGGGTTCCTTTCATAACTAAGTTTATTTTCAACCTAGGGTTATATATGGAATGCGTAGCATGATTACAGAT